AAACAAAAATTGTTCTCTACCTACATACTATTTTACAGCTCTACACATAGTGCAGATTCTCTCCAGTAGCCAATCAGACAAAAAAAAATTCAAACATGTAAACAAAGTTGAGTTTTAGTAGTATTTAGATAGACAGACAGACAGACAGACAGACAGACAGATAGATAGATAGAAAGATAGATAGATAGATAGATAGATAGATAGATAGATAGATAGATAGATAGATAGATAGATAGATAGATAGATAGATAGATAGATAGATAGATAGATAGATAGATAGATAGATAGATAGATAGAATCTGGAAGAAAAAAAGAATTGCGCACCAAGTGAACGGCAAACAATATGTGTATAATAGTGCAAAATATTATTAGTGCTTGATAAATTCATAAGCGGGTTTTTTTAGCAATCGGAAATAGCATTTACTACTTCCAATTAATAGAAATTTCTCGAAAATTAAAAAAAAAAGCGGAGAAATATATCTTTTACTACATGTGAAATTTCATTTATCTATCTGAAATAATACTCAAGTTATAGGCCTTTGAAAAATTGAAAGTAGAATAAATTCCACTTTTTTCCCGGAAATCGCTGAAAAGTCGATACCAAACTACACATTCAATATAACAAATATATATGAAATTTCATCAACCAACCTGTAACGGTACTCAAGTTATTGTGTTCACGGACATACACACACTCATACACACATACGGACAAAAAACACACATACACACACATACGGACAAAATTGCAAAACTGTTTTTCCGATTCATATACGAGAAAGTAACAATTTTCTTTATGAAGTACAAATTTTCCGCTATTGTTATTTACACATTGCGTTCATTTAGGTGTACAATTATGTTTCTACTCAATTCTATTCAAAACAATTTAAGTATTGAAAAATTCATAAAATAAAATTCATAAAAAACGTTTTAATAACAAGCTTTTATATACTAATGCACTAAAAAGTAGAAAATAAATGAGTTTCTTTAAATATATAGTAATACACTACTATTTAAATAACTATAAAGAAAAGGGTGGGTCTTATAAAGGTATCAAATAAATAAAAAAAAGTGACCCACGCTGTTCTTTATAGTTATTTAAATAGTAGTGTATTACTACATATTTAAAGAAACTCATTTATTTTCTACTTTTTAGTGCGTTAGTGCCATTAGTATATAAGAGCTTGTTATTAAAACGTTTTTTATGACTTTTTTTTTCCGTACTGAATTTTTTAAAATGCAATAGAGGTGCATACTAAAAACCATTGCGAACCTAATGAACGTGATATCACGCGTATAATAGTGTAGAATAATTGGACATCCAATCAAGTCAAATTTAATGTCAGATTGCATTGTTTTCATGTCCAGTGTTTTTTCTAGACTTTTTTCTCCGGAGGGGGGGGGGGGCACTTGAAAGTTCCGGGGGGGGGGGGAGGACACTGTTAAATGTATATATTTTCTATATAAGTTACATTTCGTTCGCAGAGATGCCTGGAAGAAACTCTGTTCATGTCTTGACCCACGTGCCAACTTTGAACCGTATCTGTCAGTTAGAAGTGCCCGTAATTTCACTCGGGCGTTTCGATCTAGACAGACTGACGACAGAGGAAGCAAATGAAATAAAAGCTTGTAAAAACCATTTTTATAGCCCGATCGCACTGAAAATTTCAACCCCTCACAGTTATATAAGCATATAAGTTGATGGGTGATAACTCCAGCGTTATTTGTGTGAGAAATGTTCTGTTAAATTTTCGTATATTGTTTTCATTATTTATTTTTCGTTTACTTTATTTTTAGTGTTTGCAAGTGTTTGTACTGACGGCGAAAAAAAAGTAGTATACTTTATAGTAGTATATTTTATTTGCGGTTTTCTGTTGAATGATTTGACTGTTATGCTTGTTATATTTGTATTGTCTCGGAATGGCAGGAGACATGTACGTTACATTATAGAATCAAGTTGAAATGTACGTATTGCTGCATTGATCGTAGCTTTGTATATTGCTGTTTATTGAAAAAAAAAATAAACAGACATAGAGCCTACATATTTCAGTAAACATTTAAATTTAGGCAAAACTATACATGGCTGGAGCAAAGCCTAGCCGACACGGCCAATATATATATATATATATATTGTATATATATATATATATATATACTCGCAATATATATATATATATATATATATGCACACACATACAAATATACACACCTATGTGATAATAGTAATTTGTAATAGTACGCCCAACCACTGGTCTAAACAAGTTTGTTCCTTCCTCCCCATGTTTGTTTGCAATTAAATTTTTAAATTAAGAAATGATTGACCAAAGTTCAAAACCGTTTCATTAAATTAAGAAATGATTGACCAAAGTTCAAAACCGTTTAATTAAATTAAGAAATGATTGACCAAAGTTCAAAACCGTTTCATTAAATTAAGAAATGATTGACCAAAGTTCAAAACCGTTTCATTAAATTAAGAGATGATTGACCAAAGTTCAAAATCGTTTCATAAATAAAAAAGAATACAACACGTGAAGACATTCAGATTTAATAAAAAGCTGCACCAATCTACACAACTGGTGCAATCCATTGAAAGCAGTGCAAGAAAAGCTACAATAGGCTTGAAAAGTTTATGCAATCATGTTCATTTAAAAAACAAAACTTTTAAAAAATATGGCAAGCGATAAAATTATAGTTGCTTGTAAAAAAACAACAACTTAAAGCTATTTGAGAATCATTGACTACACTTATTTTAATATTTTTGTATAGAAAGTAAGCCGTTTTAGAATTATTTTATCAATTCAAATAATTTAAAAACCGCCCTCAACCTCTCATTGTAGTCATCCGGCCAGGGAGAGTCAACCAATGGAAGTTTTCAGTGATAAAATACACAGTAGCGGTCAATGGGGTAGGCTATAGCCTAGTATTGTATTTATATTAAATAATATAACATCCCCAATCACCAAAACACACTGGTTCTACAAATCCAAATTAAAAATAAAAATGTTTGCAAAATTACTATCTCAAAATTACTATCTCATTAGTAGTAATTATTTGTTTGAATATTTCTAGCCTAAATAAAACCGGAAGTCATTTTGTAGTTATTCCACTTTGTTTTAAAATATTCAATCGTTATTAAAAAATATGCTTTTTGACAACAACAATTTTGTGGGACGGAGTGGTCTAGCGGTAGAGAGATGGACTGCTAACCCAAGTCTCGAGTTCGAATCCGGGTTCAGTAGACCGTCCCTGAGTCCACCCTACTCTGATGGGTACCTAACTCACTTTGGGAACGTAAGGGCGGCTGGGCATAATGCTGACCAAACTATCTCTTCATATGCTGAGGTCACAGAAACAAGAGAACTCTACTTCACTTGCCCCAAAGACCGTCAGGTTTGAAAGGGAAACTTATCTTTATACTTTTTTTTCAAGCCCATTCCGGCTTGAATAGAACAATCAATTGGTATATGCGCCAGCTACGTTCAAAGTGTATTGATTCAATTGCTCAGGTTATACCAATTAGAAAGCTCAGTTGGGTGGGGGGGGGGGGAGAGGAGGAGTTGCGATGGGAGTTTTGTGTACGCAAGCGTCTATAAACATTGCTATCACAATCTGGGCACGTTAGGGTAATGGCTGCCCGACAAGGGGGGCAATTCAGGAGAAACAAACAGAGTTGGACTTCCACTCGGAAGGGCGCAATAAATCACAGGCATGCGCCATAAACACCAGGTCACAAGACCAAGTTCATGCTATATCCTAACACAGTGGTAAAAATAAAAAAAATTCTCAAATGGTGGTACCTTTTTCATAAAAGCCATAAGTGTTGCTTTCAGAAATTTCTCTGGGGTTGAAAATGGTCCTGAAACTTTTGAGGATTGGGGAGGGGGGGGGGGATTTAATTTTCCAGGTGGGGAGAGGGGCAAACATTGGTACAAGTATATACTTTAAAAATAAATTATATAGGCCAATATATCAATATAAATAGGCCTATATAGATATATATATATATATATATATATTATATTATATTATATATATATATATATATATATATATATATATATATATATATATATATATATATATATATATAAATTATTTTTTGTCTATAAATGTCACATTAATGTCAATAAATGTCACATTAATTTCAATAAATGTCACATTAATGATAACTATAAGCTGTCAATATCAGAAGTTGGGCACCACAGCATCAAGTTGGGCACCACAGCACCAAGTTGGGCACCACAACATGAATTCAAGTTGGGCACCACAGCATGAATTCAAGTTGGGCACCACAGCATCAAGTTGGGCACCACAGCATCAAGTTGGGCACCACAGCATCAAGTTGGGCACCACAGCATCAAGTTGGGCACCACAACATGAATTCAAGTTGGGCACCACAACATGAATTCAAGTTGGGCACCACAGCATGAATTCAAGTTGGGCACCACAACATGAATTCAAGTTGGGCACCACAACATGAATTCAAGTTGGGCACCACAACATGAATTCAAGTTGGGCACCACAGCATTGAGTTGGGCACCACAGCATGAATTCAAGTTGGGCACCACAGCATCAAGTTGGGCACCACAGCATGAATTCAAGTTGGGCACCACAACATGAATTCAAGTTGGGCACCACAACATGAATTCAAGTTGGGCACCACAGCATGAATTCAAGTTGGGCACCACAGCATCAAGTTGGGCACCACAGCATCAAGTTGGGCACCACAGCATCAAGTTGGGCACCACAACATCAAGTTGGGCACCACAGCATCAAGTTGGGCACCACAGCATCAAGTTGGGCACCACAGCATCAAGTTGGGCACCACAGCATCAAGTTGGGCACCACAGCATCAAGTTGGGCACCACAGCATCAAGTTGGGCACCACAACATGAATTCAAGTTGGGCACCACAACATGAATTCAAGTTGGGCACCACAGCATTGAGTTGGGCACCACAACATGAATTCAAGTTGGGCACCACAGCATCAAGTTGGGCACCACAGCATCAAGTTGGGCACCGCAGCATCAATTCAAGTAGGGCACAACAAAGAATCAGTTAAATTAACGCTTTGATCATTTAGGCCTTTCCAATGTCTTTCAATACTCAAGCAACTGAACCTTTAGCAGAGCTTTAAGCTCTGAGGTCTGTCCTAGAGCCAATTCTAAGAAGTCGCTGCTGTGCTGTCAGATGTTCGTGGAGCAAGTGTCTGTCTTCCAGCAGCCTGGCTCTATGGGCCAGCAGCTTCTGGTAGCTCTCAGTACGCACGGCATTCACCTGGATAAACATGTAAACAAAATATTCACATAGATAAACAGGGCAACAATATTCACCTAGATAAACAGGTAAACAATATTCACCTAGATAAACAGGGCAACAATATTCACCTAGATAAACAGGTAAACAATATTCACCTAGATAAACAGGTAAACAATATTCACCTAGATAAACAGGTAAACAAAATATTCACACAGATAAACAGGGCAACAATATTCACCTAGATAAACAGGTAAACAATATTCACCTAGATAAACAGGTAAACAATATTCACCTAGATAAACAGGTAAACAAAATATTCACACAGATAAACAGGGCAACAATATTCACCTAGATAAACAGGTAAACAATATTCACCTAGATAAACAGGGCAACAATATTCACCTAGATAAGCAGGTAAACAATATTCACCTAGATAAACAGGGCAACAATATTCACCTAGATAAACAGGTAAACAATATTCACCTAGATAAACAGGTAAACAATATTCACCTAGATAAACAGGTAAACAAAATATTCACACAGATAAACAGGGCAACAATATTCACCTAGATAAACAGGTAAACAATATTCACCTAGATAAACAGGTAAACAATATTCACCTAGATAAACAGGTAAACAAAATATTCACACAGATAAACAGGGCAACAATATTCACCTAGATAAACAGGTAAACAATATTCACCTAGATAAACAGGGCAACAATATTCACCTAGATAAGCAGGTAAACAATATTCACCTAGATAAACAGGGCAACAATATTCACCTAGATAAACAGGTAAACAATATTCACCTAGATAAACAGGCAACAATATTCACCTAGATAAACAGGTAAACAATATTCACCTAGATAAACAGGTAAACAATATTCACCTAGATAAACAGGGCAACAATATTCACCTAGATAAACAGGTAAACAATATTCACCTAGATAAACAGGTAAACTATATTCACCTAGATAAACAGGTAAACAAAATATTCACACAGATAAACAGGGCAACAATATTCACCTAGATAAACAGGTAAACAATATTCACCTAGATAAACAGGTAAACAATATTCACCTAGATAAACAGGTAAACAAAATATTCACACAGATAAACAGGGCAACAATATTCACCTAGATAAACAAGTAAACAATATTAACCTAGATAAACAGGGCAACAATATTCACCTAGATAAGCAGGTAAACAATATTCGCCTAAATAAACAGGGCAACAATATTCACCTAGATAAACAGGTAAACAATATTCACCTAGATAAACAGGCAACAATATTCACCTAGATAAACAGGTAAACAATATTCGCCTAAATAAACAGGGCAACAATATTCACCTAGATAAACAGGTAAACAATATTCACCTAGATAAACAGGCAACAATATTCACCTAGATAAACAGGTAAACAATATTCACCTAGATAAACAGGTAAACAATATTCACCTAGATAAACAGGTAAACAATATTCACCTAGATAAACAGGGCAACAATATTCACCTAGATAAACAGGTAAACAATATTCACCTAGGTAAACAGGGCAACAATATTCACCTAGATAAACAGGTAAACAATATTCACCTAGATAAACAGGTAAACAATATTCACCTAGATAAACAGGGCAACAATATTCACCTAGATAAACAGGTAAACAAAATATTCACCTAGATAAACAGGTAAACAAAATATTCACCTAGATAAACAGGTAAACAATATTCACCTAGATAAACAGGTAAACAAAATATTCACCTAGATAAACAGGTAAACAATATTCACCTAGATAAACAGGTAAACAATATTCACCTAGATAAACAGGTAAACAAAATATTCACATAGATAAACAGGTAAACATAATATTCACCTAGATAAACAGGTAAACAAAATATTCACCTAGATAAACAGGTAAACAAAATATTCACCTAGATAAACAGGTAAACAAAATATTCACCTAGATAAAAAGGTAAACAATATATTCACCTAGATAAACAGGTAAACATAATATTCACCTAGATAAACACGTAAACAAAATATTCACCCAGATTAACAGGGCAACAAAATATTCACCTAGATAAACAGGTAAACTAAAAATACACACAGATAAACAGGGCAAAGTGTTGACTGAAACCAAAGTTCTAGAAGCCGCTACCTTCTCAAGCACCAAAGTTCTAGAAACCACTACCTTCTCAAGCTGCGCCTTTTCCTTGAGTAAACTTCGTTCCAGTTCCTGCTCCTCTAAGCTTCTCTCAACAATCTCCCCCTTCAGCTTGCTGGCATTGAGCCTCTTCACGTCTGCCAACTCTTGCTGCAGACGCTGCACTTTGTGTTCCTGCTGTTGTCTAGAGAGTTCTGCAGTGCGCACCTTGGTGTGTAGCAGCAGCTCTTTGTCCTGACCTTTGGTCACCATTTTCTGGGACAAGAAGAATCTACACACATCAGTTTACCATGGCTTTTCATTGCAGTTGTGGGGATATTTTTGGAGGTGAGGTGAGGGGAAATTTTTGGAGGTGAGGTGTGGGGAAATTTTTGGAGGTGAGGTGTGGGGAAATTTTTGGAAGTGAGGTGTGGGGAAATTTTTGGAGGTGAGGTGTGGGAAATTTTTGGAGGTGAGGTGTGGGGAAATTTTTGGAGGTGAGGTGTGGGGAAATTTTTGGAGGTGAAGGGTGGAGGAAAAACAACAACCTCGGACAGAAGTTAAAAAAAAAAACATGTGAGGACCAATTCAAAACAACATAAGATAGTAGTTAGCACCCATTGAAGACAACATAAGATAGTAGTTAGCACCAATTGAAAACAACATAAGATAGTAGTTACCACCTATTGAAGACAACATAAGATAGTAGTTAGCACCCATTGAAAACAACATAAGATAGTAGTTACCACCTATTGAAGACAACATAAGATAGTAGTTAGCACCCATGTAAAAATAAAACCTTAATAAATAGTAGCTAGCACCCAAGAAATAAGTAAAACCTAAGATAGTAGTTAGCGCCCATTGAAATAATGAAAACCTTAGTTAACCCCCTTATAATAAATAAAACCTAAAAAAAAATAAGGCTGACCTGGAAAAAGAGGAGGGCATCTTGGTGTTTGTGTCTCTGTTCCTCCAGTTGTCTCTCTTTGAAGTTCTGCTCACATCCACGCTGCTTGGCCAGCTCTGTTTCCTTTTTCCTTGTCAACTCAGCAGCCAGCCTGTCTGTCCTGCGCTGATTGTGGACCTACAGAGATGGCATCTTGTACAGGCATCACACAACATTATACAGAGATGGATCATATAACAATCGAGGGGGTCCACGAAAAAAACACAAAACGATTGGCCCTTTAAAAACGTACTAATCATCATAAAGCTGAAAAACTCTGATGGTATGTACATGTGACAAGATCCTATAGTGTATTCTTCAAATTTCTTTTCTCAATTTAATCCTTTTTTAGATTGATGCCCTTCCCCCACTCCACGCAAACCACTCCAACTGCCTTGCCACTGCATTCTTTCAAAAAGGTGGCAACAACAAACATCAAATTCACCACAAAAAGTGGCAACAACAAACATCAAATTCACCACAAAAAGGTGGCAACAACAAACATCAAATTCACAACAAAAAGGTGGCAACAACAAACATCAAATTCACAACAAAAAGGTGGCAACAACAAACATCAAATTCACCACAAAAAGTGGCAACAACAAACATCAAATTCACAACAAAAAGGTGGCAACAACAAACATCAAATTCACCACAAAAAGTGGCAACAACAAACATCAAATTCACCACAAAAAGGTGGCAACAACAAACATCAAATTCACCACTGACAAAAAGGTGGCAACAACAAACATCAAATTCACCACAAAAAGGTGGCAACAACAAACATCAAATTCACCACAAAAAGGTGGCAACAACAAACATCAAATTCACCACAAAAAGGTGGCAACAACAAACATCAAATTCACAACAAAAAGGTGGCAACAACAAACATCAAATTCACCACAAAAAGTGGCAACAACAAACATCAAATTCACAACAAAAAGGTGGCAACAACAAACATCAAATTCACCACAAAAAGTGGCAACAACAAACATCAAATTCACCACAAAAAGTGGCAACAACAAACATCAAATTCACCACAAAAAGTGGCAACAACAAACATCAAATTCACAACAAAAAGTGGCAACAACAAACATCAAATTCACCACAAAAAGGTGGCAACAACAAACATCAAATTCACAACAAAAAGGTGGCAACAACAAACATCAAATTCACCACAAAAAGTGGCAACAACAAACATCAAATTCACCACAAAAAGGTGGCAACAACAAACATCAAATTCACCACTGACAAAAAGGTGGCAACAACAAACATCAAATTCACCACTGACAAAGCAGTTCCCGTGAATGTGATTCTTAACAAAATAGCTCTCATCAATACGGCTCCAAACAAATTAGCTCTCAAATAATTCTGCCTCCAGAAAAAAGGACACCATCAATTCAAGTGTAAAGGGGGCCATTTAATCAGACAACTACTGTAGCCAACACCTTCAAAGAATTGAACTGATGTACCTCTTGATCACAAGCTTTATTTTACAGGATTGTATCTCGAATAAAAACCCACATGTTATGACATCCACACTAAGGGGGGGGGGGGGGGGGGGAAGGATATGACTATTCAGGTCAACTGGAGCTTTTTGTAGGATGGGGGAAGGGGAGGGGATATGCTTGTAGCATAGGTTATCAAAACAGAGATGTAAATATAAAGGTCACAATGCAGTAAACTAATTGGAGTAGGCCCATAATATTCTTCAATTGTAAATCATTCACTACTTTGATCATACAACAGGATTTGATAACCAGCAAAAAACAATTTCGGTAGCAAAATCAGAACAGTTTTACAGCTTAATTTTTTAAGCCATGTAATCAAGCCCAACATGACAAATCGTATCATCCCAAAATCCGATCATAAATAAAGAATGAAAATCATCATCAGCTTTTTCTGTCCACGGGATGACCAGAAAGATGCACGAAAATGTCAACGGAAAACTGTGCACAAAAAATGCGCAAGCAGAAATGTCCACACATTGAAAATGCACACACAGAAAAATGGGCAAATAAGAAAATTACATACAATGAAAATAATAAAACGGATTCCTGCTCTTTCTAAAATGCATAGAAACATAAAAAGGTGCTGTTGACCGAAGGTGCTTCAACCATAGATGATTGACCCACAAATTGTTTAACAACAGCGAAGGGTTGTCCACAGGCAATTGGTAACCAGGGCTGTGTAATGACCAGACGTGGTTAGCACGACTACGCATAAACAAAACGTCAACGAACCGACTAATTGACCAACTGACCCACCCAACAGGCTGACCAACTGACCCACCCAACAGGCTGACCAACTGACCGACCCAACAGGCTGACCAACTGACCCACCCACCCAACAGGCTGACCAACTGACCCACCCAACAGGCTGACCAACTGACCCACCCAACAGGCTGACCAACTGACCCACCCAACAGGCTGACCAACTGACCCACCCAACAGGCTGACCAACTGACCCACCCAACAGGCTGACCAACTGACCCACCCAACAGGCTGACCAACTGACCCACCCAACAGGCTGACCAACTGACCCACCCAACAGGCTGACCAACTGACCCACCCACCCAACAGGCTGACCAACTGACCCACCCACCCAACAGGCTGACCAACTGACCCACCCAACAGGCTGACCAACTGACCCACCCAACAGGCTGACCAACTGACCCACCCAACAGGCTGACCAACTGACCCACCCACCCAACAGGCTGACCAACTGACCCACCCAACAGGCTGACCAACTGACCCACCCAACAGGCTGACCAACTTACCCACCCAACAGGCTGACCAACTGACCCACCCAACAGGCTGACCAACTGACCCACCCACCCAACAGGCTGACCAACTGACCCACCCAACAGGCTGACCAACCGACCCACCCAACAGGCTGACCAACTGACCCACCCACCCAACAGGCTGACCAACTGACCCACCCAACAGGCTGACCAACTGACCCACCCACCCAACAGGCTGACCAACTGACCCACCCAACAGGCTGACCAACTGACCCACCCAACAGGCTGACCAACTGACCCACCCAACAGGCTGACCAACTGACCCACCCACCCAACAGGCTGACCAACTGACCCACCCAACAGGCTGACCAACTGACCCACCCAACAGGCTGACCAACTGACCCACCCAACAGGCTGACCAACTGACCCACCCAACAGGCTGACCAACTGACCCACCCAACAGGCTGACCAACTGACCCACCCACCCAACAGGCTGACCAACTGACCCACCCAACAGGCTGACCAACTGACCCACCCAACAGGCTGACCAACTGACCCACCCAACAGGCTGACCAACTGACCCACCCAACAGGCTGACCAACTGACCCACCCAACAGGCTGACCAACTGACCCACCCACCCAACAGGCTGACCAACTGACCCACCCAACAGGCTGACCAACTGACCCACCCAACAGACTGACCAACCGACCCACCCAACAGGCTGACCAACTGACCCACCCAACAGGCTGACCAACTGACCCACCCAACAGGCTGACCAACTGACCCACCCACCCAACAGGCTGACCAACTGACCCACCCAACAGGCTGACCAACTGACCCACCCACCCAACAGGCTGACCAACTGACCCACCCAACAGGCTGACATCCACATTAGTGACATCCACATTAGTGACATCCACATTAGTGACATCCACATTAGTGACATCCACATTAGTGACATCCACATTAGTAACATCCACATTAGTGACATCCACATTAGTGACATCCACATTAGTGACATCCACATTAGTGACATCCACATTAGTGACATCCACATTAGTGACATCCACATTAGTGACATCCACATTAGTGACATCCAAATTAGTGACATCCACATTAGTGACATCCACATTAGTGGCATCCACATTAGTGGCATCCACATTAGTGACATCCACATTAGTGACATCCACATTAGTGACATCCACATTAGTGACATCCACATTAGTGACATCCACATTAGTGGCATCCACATTAGTGACATCCACATTAGTGACATCCACATTAGTGACATCCACATTAGTGACATCCACATTAGTGACATCCACATTAGTGACATCCACATTAGTGACATCCACATTAGTGACATCCACATTAGTGACATCCACTGCAGTGGAAGTCAGCCATTAGTGTGCATGGTATTTAGATGTATGTACGAACAGATGGACAGACAAACAGACAGCGGTGTGTCTGTGGGTGGATGTGTGGGTCATTTGGTACAGGTATAGGCTAAGTAATGCAAATCACCTATGGTCAAATCAACATCTGTGATAGACAAACTGCTGTGGTCAAACAACATGTGGGCTTATCGTCTTTGATCAAAGAGCATCTTTGATCGGAAAATCATATCAGTTTCTGATTCTATAGGCCTACATATAAATATATATATATATATATATATATATATATATATATATATATATATATATATATATATATATATATATATATGTGTGTGTGTGTGTGTAATATAAGTGTGTGTGTGTGTGTAATATAAGCAGCTAGGTAGTGTGTAAGCCCGTCATCATGGTGCTTTTGACTTGCATCGCAGTGTCTTATTAAAAGTAATAGAGTTGGGTTTGTTTATATAACGACTTAAAATTATTATATAGTTGCCACTGTTTTTACTCTTTCGCATAATGTAAAGAAAATATTAAATACACGCAAAGTACTAATACATTCTAAACGGATCAATGTCAAATATCATTTTCGTTTAGATTGCTAGAAAATATGGATAATAATAATAGGGTCGAAAAAACTAATAAATTAAACTGTTTTGTAATTTTCCCAAGGGAAGTAATTTAAAAATAAACTCAACTCACGCTAATAAAAAAAATGTGAATGCAAAATCTCCAAGAGGGAATTATTGTTGGAATAATACAATTAGCAAAATGTGAATGCAAATTCTGCAGACGTGTAAGAGGACATAATTGTTGGAATATTATAATTAGCATGAATTGATAAAAGGCTATCCTTTTATTTATTTTATTCACTGAACGTACTCTTTATTAATTATAATTTTTAATCAACTATTCCGCACTATTATAGACGTGTCATCACGTTGATTAGGTGCGCAATGGTTTTAGTCATGAAACTCTATTGTATTGTAAATTTTAAACATTTAAAGTACTGAAAAAAAATGCATGAATTAATAAAGTGCAATATGGTAGGGTATTTTAAATACTGCCTTTTATTTATTTTATACACTGAACGTACTGTTTACTAAGTATTATTCTATATTTCTGTTTGCGGACAAGCTGGGGTTTTTATAGTCATTCACTGAATCAGACACGTCCGCCGGCGCTTGAACAGGGTGCGATTTGGCGCCACGGACTAGACTGTGAGCACTATGCGTTTATGTTTGCATTTAAGTTGTGTTTATGTTATGAGTGTTGTGTTTGTTTTTTCGTTTGTGTTGTTTTGCGTTTGCATTTGTGTTTACATTGTGTTTGAGTTTGATTTGTGTTTTTATTAGCGTTTGTTTTTTTCTTTTGTGTTTGTATGGGTTTGTTTTTTTCTTTTGTGTTCGTGTGTTGCGTTTGTGTTTTCATTTGCATTGTGTTTCTTTGTATTGTATTTGTGTTTTCTTTTGTGTTTGTGTTGTTTCTGGTTTTTGTTTTGTGTTTTCTTTTGTGTTTATGTTTGTGTTCTGTTTGTGTTGTGTTTAGTTTTGTTCTGTTCCCAAGTTGGGATTCATCAATTTATGACGTCCACACAGGGGGAGGGTGGGGGGGGGGGGGGGGGGGTGGAAGGGGGGGGACGACTGACTTTTGCGGACGCATATGGACTTTTATAAGGAAAAAAGTGGATTTTTGTGGTCGGGTGGGAGGGGGGTCCAAAATCCAAAAAAATTGTGGACGTCATAAATGGATGACCCTAAACCTAACCCTAACCTTAACCCTAACCTTATCCCTTGCCCTAAACCTAACCCTAACTCTAACCCTGTCCGGGTTGGGGGGGGGGGGGGGGGACTGGGCAGGGGGTAATTTACATGGGGGTAATTGACAAGGGGAGGAGGGGGGTGGTAATGTCGGGGGGGGGGGGGGAATGTCAGGGGGGTAATTGACAGGGGGGAAATGCCCTATTCACATCTATAATATAAGCGGGCAAGTTATAGATATATAAATATGTGTGTCAGTCCGTCATCGCTATAGATTTTGAAACCATCAAAGTAAACATCGCACCATACTGTGCTTTTCAGTGCACCACAGTGTCTTATAGTAAGTAATTGAGTAGGGTTTGTTTATATAACGGCATAGAGCTATTTTATAATAGCCACCGTTTTTACTTTTTTGCATAACGTAAAGAAAATATTAAATACACGCACATTGCTAAAACATATTAAAAAGATCAATGTCAAATATCATTTTCGTTTATATTCCTAGAAAAAATGGATACATTTTCATAAAAGTAGGTCGAAAAAACTAATTATTTCAACTTTTTGTTGTTGTAATTTTTGCAAGGGAGGTAATTTGAAAATATATTTAACTCATCAATAATTTTGTTTTATTACTACCGCATTGATTATTATATGTTAAGGTTCATAATTAAAAGAGAAAAATGTTAAGATTATTTACATTATTTTCTAATTAGACTATGATCTCTCAAAATCGCTATTTTTTGTTTTTGTTTTTCGGTGTTAACAGATGGTGAAAATTTAGAATATAGTATAGAGAATGCTGGAAAGGCTCTCTCTGGGCGCAGACGCCTAGGAAAAGCATGTTGTTCAGTGGTGATTCTATTGTTGTGGTTGTGCTGTGGTTGTGTTGTGGTTGTGTTGTGCTGTGGTTGTGTTGTGGTTGTGTTGTGCTGTGGTTGTGTTGTGGTTGTGTTGTGGTTGTGTTGTGGTTGTGCTGTGGTTCTGTTGTGGTTGTGTTGTGGTTGTGTTGTGGTTGTGCTGTGGTTGTGTTGTGTTGTGCTGTGGTTGTGTTGTGGTTGTGTTGTGGTTGTGTTGTGCTGTGGTTGTGTTGTGGTTGTGTTGTGGTTGTGTTGTGGTTGTGCTGTGGTTGTGTTGTGGTTGTGTTGTGCTGTGGTTGTGTTGTGGTTGTGTTGCGGTTGTGGTTGTGTTGTGGTTGTGTTGTGGTGGTGTTGTGGTTGTGTTGTGTTGTGGTTGAGTTTTGTTTGTGTTTGTGTTATGTTTTTGTTTGTTTTGTTCTGTTCCCAAGTTGGTACATTTAAAAAAGATTTACCATGGCGGGGCACGGGATGCAGCTAGTATATTTATATAAATATATATATATAAATAAATAAATAAATAAATATATATATATACATAATTTACATGGGGGTAATTGACAAGGGGGTAATTACTTCGGGGGGTAATGTCGGGGGGTGGGGACAGGGCGCCAAATTGAACCCTGACATCTCCTTTGGCTAGACAAAATGATGAAAGGAAAAGAGGGGCCTACCTCTACTTGCTGTGCTATACGTTTAGCAGTGAGTGGCTAGACAAAATGATGAAAGGAAAAGAGGGGCCTACCTCTACTTGCTGTGCTATACGTTTAGCAGTGAGTGGCTAGACAAAATGATGAAAGGAAAAGAGGGGCCTACCTCTACTTGCTGTGCTATACGTTTAGCAGTGAGTGGCTAGACAAAATGATGAAAGGAAAAGAGGGGCCTACCTCTACTTGCTGTGCTATACGTTTAGCAGTGAGTGGCTAGACAAAATGATGAAAGGAAAAGAGGGGCCTACCTCTACTTGCTGTGCTATACGTTTAGCAGTGAGTGGCTAGACAAAATGATGAAAGGAAAAGAGGGGCCTACCTCTACTTGCTGTGCTATACGTTTAGCAGTGAGTGGCTAGACAAAATGATGAAAGGAAAAGAGGGGCCTACCTCTACTTGCTGTGCTATACGTTTAGCAGTGAGTGGCTAGACAAAATGATGAAAGGAAAAGAGGGGCCTACCTCTACTTGCTGTGCTATACGTTTAGCAGTGAGTGGCTAGACAAAATGATGAAAGGAAAAGAGGGGCCTACCTCTACTTGCTGTGCTATACGTTTAGCAGTGAGTGGCTAGACAAAATGATGAAAGGAAAAGAGGGGCCTACCTCTACTTGCTGTGCTATACGTTTAGCAGTGAGTGGCTAGACAAAATGATGAAAGGAAAAGAGGGGCCTACCTCTACTTGCTGTGCTATACGTTTAGCAGTGAGTGGCTAGACAAAATGATGAAAGGAAAAGAGGGGCCTACCTCTACTTGCTGTGCTATACGTTTAGCAGTGAGTGGCTAGACAAAATGATGAAAGGAAAAGAGGGGCCTACCTCTACTTGCTGCGCTATACGTTTAGCAGTGAGTGGCTAGACAAAATGATGAAAGGAAAAGAGGGGCCTACCTCTACTTGCTGTGCTATACGTTTAGCAGTGAGTGGCTAGACAAAATGATGAAAGGAAAAGAGGGGCCTACCTCTACTTGCTGTGCTATACGTTTAGCAGTGAGTGGCTAGACAAAATGATGAAAGGAAAAGAGGGGCCTACCTCTACTTGCTGTGCTATACGTTTAGCAGTGAGGTCCATTCCAGCGCTGACTGCAGAGAAGTTGAGTTTTCTCTGCGCATCAGCTGTGCTACCCAGTTGCATCTGAGTGTCTGTTAAATGACGTTGCTCTGTGGAGAAACAATCAGACGTTGAACTCAATAAAAGATTATAAAAACAGGTTCATAGTAAGAACATTTAGATCTTCCAACAGATTCAACTTTTGAACAAATGGAGGAGGTGGGGGGGGGGACGGCTACATACAGTTGAGCAACTTACCGTCCCTTTTTTTAATGTCTAAATGAGATTTAGTGAGGGCTAAGTCTGCATCTAGCTGGCCTTTGTTCATCAAGCAGCTCTTGATATCACTGTCACTTTTACTAATGAAAGAAAGCCATTCAATGATCACATCAAAAAATTAATTAAAAAAAAAATATTACCTTTAAAACAATTTAACAAGTATTTCAATTTTATAAATACAACTTTTTATTCAATTCAATGATTTTTTTCTCCATTGAAATTTATTAAACAATATTATATTAAAGTGCTAAATTCTGATTGATCAAGTCATTTATATTCTAACCTATCAGGCAACTTGAATTTGAACTATATAAAGTCAAACTCAATTTTAATTTGATCACATCAATTTATGTTCTGAGTTGCCACTGAATCTTACAGTAATTTCTGCTCCAAACTTCTTGTCATCTCCAAGTCATCTTGGATTTTCTCAGTTTTCTTTTTTACTTGGTTTCTAAAAAATATGAGATTAAAATTCAAGATTATTTAGTGACAAAGTGACCACCTAATGTTTGGTGAAGAATTTAATTAGCTCTTCTGATAATTTCTCTAATCAGACATTCTAATTACACTTTCTGATTATGCCTTCTGTTTACACATTCTACTTACACCCTCTGATTGCACCTTCTGATTAAACCTTCTAATTACACTTTCTAAATAAACTTTCTAAATAAACTTTCTAATTAAACCTTCTAATTACACTTTCTAAATAAACTTTCTAAATAAACTTTCTAATTAAACCTTCTAATTACACTTTCTAAATAAACTTTCTAAATAAACTTTCTAATTAAACCTTCTAATTACACTTTCTAAATAAACTTTCTAATTAAACCTTCTAATTACACTTTCTAAATAAACTTTCTAAATAAACTTTCTAATTAAACTTTCTAAATAAACTTTCTAAATAAACTTTCTAAATAAACTTTCTGATTAAACTTTCTAATTAAACCTTCTAATTACACCTTCTAAATAAACGTTCGTAAATAAACTTTCTAATTAAACCTTATATAATCACACTTTCTAAATAAACTTTCTAATTAAACCTTCTAATTACACTTTCTAAATAAACTTTCTAAATAAACTTTCTAAATAAACTTTCTAAATAAACTTTCTAAATAAACTTTCTAATTAAATTTTCAAAATAAACTTTCTAATTAAACTTTCTAAATAAACTTTCTAAATAAACTTTCTAAATAAACTTTCTAATTAAACTTTCTAATTAAACCTTCTAATTACACTTTCTAAATAAACTTTCTAAATAAACTTTCTAATTAAACCTTCTAATTACACTTTCTAAATACACTTTCTAATTAAACCTTCTAATTACACTTTCTAAATAAACTTTCTAAATAAACTTTCTAAAAAAACTTTCTAAATAAACTTTCTAATTAAACTTTCTAATTAAACCTTCTTCAAAAACAAATCTATATCTGTCACCAAGTGGTTCAATTAATTTTTAAAACATGTCACATGACTAGACACCACTCAAAACATGTAGCCTACAATAAAGTCTAGACATCGCTCAAAACATGTTGCCTACAATAAAGTCTACACACCTCTCAAAACATGTAGCATACAATAAAGTCTAGACACCACTCAAAACATGTTGCCTACAATAAAGTCTACACACCTCTCAAAACATGTAGCCTACAATAAAGTCTACACACCTCTCAAAACATGTAGCCTACAATAAAGTCTAGACACCGCTCAAAACATGTAGCCTACAATAAAGTCTAGACACCTCTCAAAACATGTAGCCTACAATAAAGTCTAGACACATCTCAAAACATGTCACATGACTAGACACCACTCAAAACATGTCACATGACTAAACATGTCACATGACTAGATACCTTTTGAACTCAAACTTCTGAACTCTTGCCTTCTGTGCCTCAAGATTCAATTGGATGGCAAGATCAGACAACTCTTGCTTCAGTCTGTGCTGTTCTTCCTGCAGAAACAACAAGCAGTCAGCCAACCTACAAGTCCACTCGAGCTCTTACAACTGTCAGTAGATCTATAAGTCTACTCAGAGGGGTCCACCTGGGTCTGGTTGTCTGGTGGTCCACCTGGGTCTGTTGGTCTAGTGGTCCACAGGGTCTGGTGGTCCACCTGGGTCTGGTGGTCCACCTGGGTCTGGTGGTCTAGTGGTCCACAGGGTCTGGTGGTCTACCTGGGTCTGGTGGTCCACCTGGGTCTGGTGGTCCACCTGGGTCTGGTGGTCCACCTAGGTCTGGTGGTCCACCTGGGTCTGGTGGTCTACCTGGGTCTGGTGGTCCACCTGGGTCTGGTGGTCCACCTGGGTCTGGTGGTCCACCTGGGTCTGGTGGTCTAGTGGTCCACAGGGTCTGGTGGTCCACCTGGGTCTGGTGGTCCACCTGGGTCTGGTGGTCCACCTGGGTCTGGTGGTCCACCTGGGTCTGGTGGTCCACAGGGTCTGGTGGTCTACCTGGGTCTGGTGGTCTACCTGGGTCTGGTGGTCCACCTGGGTCTGGTGGTCCACAGGGTCTGGTGGTCTACCTGGGTCTGGTGGTCTACCTGGGTCTGGTGGTCCACCTGGGTCTGGTGGTCCACCTGGGTCTGGTGGTCTAGTGGTCCACAGGGTCTGGTGGTCCACCTGGGTCTGGTGGTCTACCTGGGTCTGGTGGTCCACCTGGGTCTGGTGGTCCACCTGGGTCTGGTGGTCCACCTGGGTCTGGTGGTCCACCTGGGTCTGGTGGTCCACCTGGGTCTGGTGGTCCACCTGGGTCTGGTGGTCCACCTGGGTCTGGTGGCCCACCTGGGTCTGGTGGTCCACCTGGGTCTGGTGGTCCACCTGGGTCTGGTGGTCCACCTGGGTCTGGTGGTCCACCTGGGTCTGGTGGTCCACCTGGGTCTGGTGGTCTAGTGGTCCACAGGGTCTGGTGGTCCACCTGGGTCTGGTGGTCCACCTGGGTCTGGTGGTCCACCTGGGTCTGGTGGTCCACAGGGTCTGGTGGTCCACCTGGGTCTGGTGGTCCACCTGGGTCTGGTGGTCCACCTGGGTCTGGTGGTCCACCTGGGTCTGGTGGTCCACCTGGGTCTGGTGGTCTACCTGGGTCTGGTGGTCCACCTGGGTCTGGTGGTCCACCTGGGTCTGGTGGTCCACCTGGGTCTGGTGGTCCACCTGGGTCTGGTGGTCTACCTGGGTCTGGTGGTCCACCTGGGTCTGGTGGTCCACCTGGGTCTGGTGGTCTAGTGGTCCACAGGGTCTGGTGGTCCACCTGGGTCTGGTGGTCCACCTGGGTCTGGTGGTCTACCTGGGTCTGGTGGTCCACCTGGGTCTGGTGGTCCACCTGGGTCTGGTGGTCTAGTGGTCCACAGGGTCTGGTGGTCCACCTGGGTCTGGTGGTCCACAGGGAAGAGAAAAACCTGACCTATTGACCTACTTCTTTTTGTCTGAGTTTAACTTCAAACTCCTGGCCCAGCCTCATGACCTCGGACCTCTTCAGATGGATGGCAGCTTTTTTAACAGCATACAAATGCTCCAACTCAGATCTGTGAAAACAAACTCAACAATTTGACAACAAACCCAACAATTTGAAAGCAAACCCAACAATTTGACAACAAACTCAACAATTTGACAACAAACTCAACAATTTGACAACAAACTCAACAATTTGACAACAAACTCAACAATTTGACATAAAATAAAACTAATAACTTGACATTAGAAAAAACTTCTGTGCTATGGTCTTTGACATACTTAACTTAAATGTTTATCAATGTTACAATTATTTATCTTACATTTTGTTCTCATCCAATGAATTTATATGGTGTTTTAACAAAATATGCTGGGTGCAGTAAAAAAAGCAAAGCATAAAGCATTGAAAGAGCAGGAAAGCTGTGTGAATCAAGGCTACAATAATATGGTGCACTCGTCAAGCTGAGAGAATAAAATATTTTGAATGCACAGATAGAAAATGTGTTCTGCAATAAACCATTCATGCTTAAGGTGATATGCTCAATTTATTTCTATTTTCTATTAAATTTAAGGTGATATGCTCAGTTGATTTCTTTAAAAAAAAATTAAGTTGATATGCTCAATTGATTTCTATTTTTTACATTTTAAGATCTAAAGTCTATCCCCTTCTTATTTTTGGAGGGAAGAAATAAAAGATTTCTTTTTTAACACTTTTCTCTAGCCCAGTTGTAGCATTTAATTTGTCAAAAGAAAAAATCTGAAACTTTCAGTTTTACACATTTGTAAAAAAAAAACACACTAAAAATTATAAAGTGACGACAAACTGTTTCCACCTAAATATTTACAAAAATGTTACGCTTGAACCCAACAAAACTTTGGATCTAATCCCAGAAAATGTTTGGGACTAATCCAACTAAAGTTATGCGTTACAACTCACATTTTAATTTCCTTTTTTCTGGCTTGGTCCTTAAAGGCCAAGGATTCTATTTGTGATTGAAGAATCTGTTGGTTTGTGATCTGTAAGTCAGGGAATTTGTTGATGAAAAATTGTAATTGCTTTAGGGGCATGGCCTACATCAATTAAGGGGGTAAGTCCCAGTAAAAAAATAATTTTTTAATACTAGAGAACAATTTTTCTCTACAGCTTTTTTAAGGTACATCAGCAAATGTGTTTCCATTCAAAAAATTGATGGGAGAATCTGGGTGACTATGACAATGGTGGCCATCTTGAAAAATTAGCCTATTTGTAGGATTTCCACCATTCATAAAGTATAAAATTTTAAGCTGTATAAAGAATAAATGTGTAATCTTCTACCATATTTTGTGGTGCTCAGGTAAAAATTCTAAGTGCAGATTTTCAAAATAATTTATTATGAATTTTCAAATCTGTGAAAACAAAGCTAACAATTTGACACTAAATTTAAGACCCTTAAATTCCTCAAAATTGAGTGTATTTACAGGAGCCAAAATGTGAGAATTAATTCCTTATTAGTATTTTGGCATCTGATAATCATCCATTGCTGGCTACCTCAAAAAATATTGATTTACTAGATTATGCAAATTGATCAATTTATTAGTTTACAAAATGTCTTTAAAAGTTCAAAATATTTGTTTAAATGCAAAAAAGTGACAATTGGCTCTAAACTAAAATTTGATTTAAAAGCTGATTTAAAAGAAGAACTCTTCTATAAGTCAATCACTGGGAATGTGCACAATTTGTGTTTTAAAATACTCCTAAATAGAGTACTGTCACTTTTATTTTTATAGAGAGAAGCACTTGTCTAATTTACAGCAGGCCTGACTAAAAGCTTGCATAATTTAAATGCAAACAAATTTAAAAATGTTTTTGCATGTGTTCAATCCTAATTTAAAAAAAGGTATGTTCAATCCTAATTTTAAAAAAGGTGTGTTCACTCCAATTTAAAAAAGGTGTGTTAAATCCTAATTTATAAAAAGGTATGTTCAATCCTAATTTTAAAAAAGGTGTGTTCAATCCTAATTTAAATAAGAGGTGTTCAATCATAACTTAAAAAAGGTGTGTTCAACCCTAATTTAAAAAAAAAGTTGTGTTCAGTCTTAATTTAAATAAGGTGTGTTATTCTTAATTTAAAAAAGGTGCGTTCAATCCTAATTTAAAAAAGGTGTGTTCAGTCCTAATTTAAATAAGGTGTGTTAATCTTAATTTTAAAAAGGTGTGTTTAATCAGTGAAGCAGGTAATGCAATCCCTGTGTTGGGTTAAGGTGGGACTCACTAGCCAAACATTGTTGGGTTAAGTGGGACTCACTAGTCAAATATTGTATGTGTTGGGTTAAGGTGGGACTCACTAGTCAAACATTGTTGGGTTAAGGTGGGACTCACTAGTCAAATATTGTTGGGTTAAGGTGGGACTCACTAGTCAAACATTGTATGTGTTGGGTTAAGGTGGGACTCACTAGTCAAACATTGTTGGGTTAAGGTGGGACTCACTAGTCAAACATTGTATGTGTTGGGTTAAGGTGGGACTCACTAGTCAAATATTGTTGGGTTAAGGTGGGACTCACTAGTCAAATATTGTATGTGTTGGGTTAAGGTGGGACTCACTAGTCAAACATTGTTGGGTTAAGGTGGGACTCACTAGTCAAACATTGTTGGGTTAAGGTGGGACTCACTAGTCAAACATTGTTGGGTTAAGGTGGGACTCACTAGTCAAACATTGTATGTGTTGGGTTAAGGTGGGACTCACTAGTCAAACATTGTTGGGTTAAGGTGGGACTCACTAGTCAAACATTGTATGTGTTGGGTTAAGGTGGGACTCACTAGTCAAATATTGTTGGGTTAAGGTGGGACTCACTAGTCAAATATTGTATGTGTTGGGTTAAGGTGGGACTCACTAGTCAAATATTGTATGTGTTGGGTTAAGGTGGGACTCACTAGTCAAACATTGTTGGGTTAAGGTGGGACTCACTAGTCAAACATTGTTGGGTTAAGGTGGGACTCACTAGTCAAACATTGTTGGGTTAAGGTGGGACTCACTAGTCAAATATTGTTGGGTTAAGGTGGGACTCACTAGTCAAATATTGTTGGGTTAAGGTGGGACTCACTAGTCAAATATTGTTGGGTTAAGGTGGGACTCACTAGTCAAATATTGTATGTGTTGGGTTAAGGTGGGACTCACTAGTCAAACATTGTTGGGTTAAGGTGGGACTCACTAGTCAAATATTGTTGGGTTAAGGTGGGACACACTAGTCAAATATTGTTGGGTTAAGGTGGGACTCACTAGTCAAACATTGTATGTGTTGGGTTAAGGTGGGACTCACTAGTCAAATATTGTTGGGTTAAGGTGGGACTCACTAGTCAAACATTGTATGTGTTGGGTTAAGGTGGGACTCACTAGTCAAACATTGTTGGGTTAAGTGGGACTCACTAGTCAAATATTGTTGGGTTAAGGTGGGACTCACTAGTCAAACATTGTTGGGTTAAGGTGGGACTCACTAGTCAAACATTGTTGGGTTAAGGTGGGACTCACTAGTCAAACATTGTATGTGTTGGGTTAAGGTGGGACTCACTAGTCAAACATTGTTGGGTTAAGTGGGACTCACTAGTCAAATATTGTTGGGTTAAGGTGGGACTCACTAGTCAAACATTGTTGGGTTAAGGTGGGACACACTAGTCAAACATTGTTGGGTTAAGGTGGGACTCACTAGTCAAACATTGTATGTGTTGGGTTAAGGTGGGACTCACTAGTCAAATATTGTTGGGTTAAGTGGGACTCACTAGTCAAATATTGTTGGGTTAAGGTGGGACTCACTAGTCAAACATTGTTGGGTTAAGGTGGGACTCACTAGTCAAACATTGTTGGGTTAAGGTGGGACTCACTAGTCAAATATTGTTGGGTTAAGGTGGGACTCACTAGTCAAATATTGTTGGGTTAAGGTGGGACTCACTAGTCAAATATTGTTGGGTTAAGGTGTGACTCACTAGTCAAACATTGTATGTGTTGGGTTAAGGTGGGACTCACTAGCCAAACATTGTTGGGTTAAGGTGGGACTCACTAGTCAAACATTGTTGGGTTAAGGTGGGACTCACTAGTCAAACATTGTTGGGTTAAGGTGGGACACACTAGTCAAACATTGTATGTGTTGGGTTAAGGTGGGACTCACTAGTCAAACATTGTTGGGTTAAGGTGGGACTCACTAGTCAAATATTGTATATGTTGGGTTAAGGTGGGACTCACTAGTCAAACATTGTATGTGTTGGGTTAAGGTGGGACTCACTAGTCAAACATTGTATGTGTTGGGTTAAGGTGGGACTCACTAGTCAAACATTGTATGTGTTGGGTTAAGGTGGGACACACTAGTCAAACATTGTTGGGTTAAGGTGGGACTCACTAGTCAAACATTGTATGTGTTGGGTTAAGGTGGGACTCACTAGCCAAACATTGTATATGTTGGGTTAAGGTGGGACTCACTAGTCAAACATTGTTGGGTTAAGGTGGGACTCACTAGTCAAACATTGTTGGGTTAAGGTGGGACTCACTAGTCAAACATTGTTGGGTTAAGGTGGGACTCACTAGTCAAACATTGTTGGGTTAAGGTGGGACTCACTAGTCAAATATTGTTGGGTTAAGGTGGGACTCACTAGTCAAACATTGTTGGGTTAAGGTGGGACTCACTAGTCAAACATTGTATGTGTTGGGTTAAGGTGGGACTCACTAGTCAAACATTGTTGGGTTAAGGTGGGACTCACTAGTCAAACATTGTATGTGTTGGGTTAAGGTGGGACTCACTAGTCAAACATTGTTGGGTTAAGTGGGACTCACTAGCCAAACATTGTATGTGTTGGGTTAAGGTGGGACTCACTAGTCAAACATTGTTGGGTTAAGGTGGGACTCACTAGTCAAACATTGTATGTGTTGGGTTAAGGTGGGACTCACTAGTCAAATATTGTTGGGTTAAGGTGGGACTCACTAGTCAAACATTGTATGTGTTGGGTTAAGGTGGGACTCACTAGTCAAACATTGTATGTGTTGGGTTAAGGTGGGACTCACTAGTCAAACATTGTTGGGTTAAGGTGGGACTCACTAGTCAAACATTG